TAGGGTTTTATTTTATCACTATTTTTAATGTAAAATGATTGATTCTACTCCTTACAAATTTAAACACTTAGAGTCATTCTTTTCATTAATAAAACCCAAATTTATTAATACAAAATCTAAACGTAGGTAATTTTTGATTAAAAATCATTTACATACAAACGTTACTCACGGCTCGCATAATATCGAATTTTTAGAGATTTCACTGATTTATTCACACCGTTATTGTTAATTACTTAATTTAAGGGAGATAGTTGAATTTGAATCGTTTTGTTACGACCAACCGTCTACCACCAACTTAATTAGTTTATTTGATATTGCACGCTAGATATACTCAAAGTATTAAAATCCGTTCTTTTTCGTTAATAACTATTTCAGATAAGCGTTAAATGGCTAAAGGACCAACAGCACATGTTTCTTGGTAAATGTTTTACATGGGCATTCATAGGGTTCGTGATGGTGGGCTATTGCTATTGTTAACGTCCGTCGAGACCCACTGTTGCGGTTTTGAATTACTTTTAGGGTCCTGCTATACCTTGAAGGTGTACCAGACAATCAATTGATCACAGATTCTCAGGGGAGAGAAGGGGGGTAAACACATGTTCTACCCTTCATTGTATTCTAATGAAAGATCTCATCGAAAGGAATTGGTTTCTACAAACTATAACTTTCCTGCGAGACTGTTTTTCAAGATTAGTGTAGAATATCTGGAAAAAGAATTGTCGGAAGAGGCTGAGTCATAAAGGGTAAGTGGTAGGTACGTCTGGACAAGACACATCTAGTGCTGATGTCACTCCCCCTCATCCACTTCTCGCATCTTCCAGCACCTCGCCTCGCGCCTGTTGTTTCCACCTCCTTGCAATTCCATAACATGTGTTCTAGTTTTATGTTCACTTCTTCCTCTCCGCATATTCCACATTATCTTTCTTCTTCTTGTGTCTATTTCTCCTTTCCTCTCTCCTCATTTCCACATCTGAATTATTTTAATATTTTTTATTCCCTCCCATAAATATTTTGGTAACTACTTCCTTATTAAATCTTTGTAACTACTACTTCGTCGTGTGCTCTCTATTTTCACCTTCTGTTGTTGTATTTGTGCATCAACTCATTTTCCATTTCCATCCACTCTCCTTTCCTCTATTTTACCTCATCTGTATCCCCATTTCTTACATAATATTTTCCTCTTTATCCCTCCCGCAATCTTTTTACGTTCTTTCTCCTTGTCAAGCATTCTTTTACCAATTCGCATTTCCACAAAAATAAAAATGCACTATTGTGGCCACTTTGTCCGTCCGTCCGGCTGTCCGTCCGTCCGTCCGCTCGTTTTGCGCCGCTACTAGTTCTTTATCTTAAGAGCTATTGTTCTACTTTTTTCGCTATTTGGTTCGTTATGGTGTCGAGTCTTGTACCAAGGAAGGAATTTTTTCTGTACCGCTTACAAAAAAAGTTATTGTAAAAAAAACAAAAAACCGTTTTTTACATGTTCCATAATTTTACACTTTTGCCGTTTATTAACGATCCTAGAGATCGTTTATAATTTTGCATTGCTATCTGTCGCCTGCCGGTTGGTCTCTCCGTCTGTTCCTTTGTCTGTCTGTCCATCTATCTGTCCGTGTGAACGATAACTTTGTTTAGAAAATGTTCGATCGCTTTTACATCTCCGTTAGTTATGAACTGAATTGCATGAAATTCAATATGGGCATAGATTTAGCCATATAATACGCAATGCCAAAAGTTGGATCGAATCGATTCAAAATTCACAGTGCCCTTTTCGCATCTCGACCATTTATAAACCGAATTGCAAACTTTTTTACTTATAAAAGTATTTGAATGAAATTTGATACATAGGCACTTTGGAATAAAGGAAAATCAAACGCCAATTTCAAAATTTGGTTTTGCGCATGCGCAGTGCCAACTTTTTTATTTATGGAAGAATTTAAACGAAATTTGATACATAGGCACTTGGGATAAAGGAAAATCAAACGCCAATTTCAAAATTTGGTTTTGCGCATGCGCAGTGCCAACTTTTTTATTTATGGAAGAATTTAAACGAAATTTGATACATAGGCACTTGGGATAAAGGAAAATCAAACGCCAATTTCAAAATTTGGTTTTGCGCATGCGCAGTGCCAACTTTTTTATTTATTTATGGAAGAATTTAAACGAAATTTGATACATAGGCACTTGGGATAAAGGAAAATCAAACGCCAATTTCAAAATTTGGTTTTGCGCATGCGCAGTGCCAACTTTTTTATTTATGGAAGAATTTAAACGAAATTTGATACATAGGCACTTGGGATAAAGGAAAATCAAACGCCAATTTCAAAATTTGGTTTTGCGCATGCGCAGTGCCAACTTTTTTATTTATGGAAGAATTTAAACGAAATTTGATACATAGGCACTTGGGATAAAGGAAAATCAAACGCCAATTTCAAAATTTGGTTTTGCGCATGCGCAGTGCCAACTTTTTTATTTATGGAAGAATTTAAACGAAATTTGATACATAGGCACTTGGGATAAAGGAAAATCAAACGCCAATTTCAAAATTTGGTTTTGCGCATGCGCAGTGCCAACTTTTTTATTTATGGAAGAATTTAAACGAAATTTGATACATAGGCACTTGGAATAAAGGAAAATCAAACGCCAATTTCAAAATTTGGTTTTGCGCATGCGCCGTGCCAACTTTTTTATCTATGGAACTATTTAAGTGAAATTTGATACTTAGGCGCTTGGAACAAAGGAAAATCTTAGTTTATTAGTTAGTTATAGTAAATTAGTTTTAAAATTTAGGTTTGCGCATGCGCAGTTCCAACTTTCTTATTTAGAAAAGCATTGAAATGAAATTCTTCTCATAAACTGAAATTGAAGTAGCACGTCAACAATGGATTGCCCATGTGCAACGCTATCTTTCATATTTGTGGCGGATTTTTACGATTTTAACAGAAGTTGCATCTTACAAATGGGAAATGAATGCAAGTGGAAATGCGCTTTATGTAAATCGTTTACGATTACTTTTTAACTTGTTATTATTGCCTTAAATTTATTTTCGCATCCGTACCGTATTTATATTTTTTAATTAATTTTAAGGTAATTTGTTGCTACTTTCCGTTTCAGTAATTATAGGAGGGGGGGGGGGGATATTGTTCGCTTTTCCACAATTGCTTAGCTAGTCTCAGAACATGTTTCAATCATTTACCGTCCAAATTCCCAACTTTTCAAACGAACGATAAGTAATTCCTTAAGGAAAAGGCTCTCCATTCTGTTGAGCAATTCCTTAATATTAATATAACTTAATTTTTTTTTTAGAGGAGGGTTCGACAGCTAAGGTCATATCCCCTTTTAATTCTCATCTATGTAACCACACATCTAAATTTTCCCATACACTTTTCAAGAAATTCAATAAATTTCTAGCTTTATCCCAGCTGGTAAAATTCTGATTATAATTTGGCATAATAGAATACTGGACAGTCGTTTATTATATGGGCCACCGTGAGGGCCATCCTACATCGATTGCACTGTCGGGGATTAGTACGATTCAGTAGATGTTCGTGGGTTATTTGAATGTGCCCTATTCTCAGACGGTGCATCTTTACACTCTCTTCTCTAGTTGCGCCTGGCAGTGTAAACGTTCCCTTTGCGATGGGTTTTATTTGTGAAAGGTGAGTATTTGTTGCTGTCCATTTTTCTTGCCATTCCGTGTGGCATTCGTTTTTCATGTATTTCCCGAGGTCATATGGAGCAGCAAGATTAACTTCCACCTGCTCCACAAGTGCCGCCTGATAGGCAGCGCTATTCGCTTGCTCGTTGCCTTCAATACCCACATGGCTTGGAACCCATATACACGTAAGTAATTTCCCTTGTGCGAGGATACTATTTAAGGCAGACTGACATACTATATTCATAGCGTTATGTGAATAATTTTCCGTAAGATCATGCAATATATTAGCGCAATCGGTGACGATTATGAACCTGCTACTATCATGGAACAATACAGGACCGCTTGCCATAATGCATATTGTCCAGCGAAATGGATGGACGATATGGTATTCAATCTCCACTTATATGCTGCACCTTCGGTGACTATGGCACTACCCGTCCCATTTATAGTTTTTGATCCGTCCGTATATATTACTTGGTATGATGGATATTGGCTAAGGATCATCTCAAATTCCTGCAGGTAAGTGTCTCATTTTGTAATTTCTTTTTTGTGCCTTATGAGATCTTTTATTATGTTTATTTTCGGTATCACCCATGGTGTAACTTCCCATATCCTCTCATCCAACAAATTTGGAAGGACTACTCCCCTCTGATCGAAATATTCCTTGTGCCTAATATAAGCTGGTCGAGTAATGGTAGGTGCTGACCTGTACGATTGTACGTCTACATTAAATAGCTCATTATTAGGGTGTAAGGGTAGCGATGAAAACTTTCGCGAAATAACATTTTAGATCTAGCTATACCTTTAACGTTTTGATGGTTTGTTTTTTTGATCAGTGCAATTATATTTTTATTGTACAAAGCAAGGAATATACATTATTATTATTAATAATATTGAACTTCATTTTACATTGTGTGGTCTTAGTATGATCTAAGTTGTTGTTTTCAGTGTTCTGGCGAAAGAACCATCGTAAAAATATTTTAGTGATTAATTGATGTAAATAAATGATCTAATAATGACCTAACACTTACAAATAGTGGAAGTGTTTATTTTCCCCCACTTTTTCATTTTATTTTAGCTGTATGCTACATCATTTCCTATATTTTTGCCTAATGGGAACTAGCTTTTTCACGGAAAACGCTTTGGGGAGGTAGGTCGTCATATAATATTCTTAAACAGAGGTCCACTCCACTCCTCAATAGTAATCCAAAAGCAACCGTTACTGGGAGCTACTTAGAAATGGTCAATAATGCTCTTTAGAACACTTACTCAACCTGAAAACAAATCTTAGTAAAGGCGTACAAAAACCTTCATGCTCGGTATCTTGCATAATGTCAAAATTATCTTACAATTATTATACTAATTTAATTTAAAATGCTTCTCAACACGGCGTTCGGAAAACACATCGGTAACTTTTATTACATGCATAAAACAGTATGATTTAATCAAGATTGTTTTGCGTGGCCATTTTCGGATAGTATGCCATTTTCGGACAGCACGCCATTTTTTGACAGCACTCCATTTTTAGATAGAACTCCAGCTTCTTTGGCGCTTCCATTAGTAGTTCCATTAGCGTGACCATTTTTAATCACATTTTTTTTATTGCTTTCCGCATACGCTTTATTGTAAAAGTCCGAGAACAGGTAGTAGAAGAAGATTGCGTTCGGCAAGGTGAAGAACATTGTCCACTTTGGATAGCCGCAGTCGTAGAACAGCAGTTGCATAGAGTGTAGGAAGGCTATGCAAAATTGGGACTAAAAATGCGTGTGCTTAGTATATCGCGTTTGTAGTCGTTATCTTACCAATTGCAACGTGGTGATGTACTTTTTCCACCAGAGATACTTCTGATATTTTGGTCCCATGGCCGCCATCATGTAGTAGAAGTACATAATAATGTGGACGAAACAGTTTATGACGCCTATAAATGTACCGTGACCCCCTGGGAAGTACTTGGTGGCTCCCCAACTAACTAGGGGCATCACTGTGTGGTGGTAGATGTGAAGAAAGCTAATCTGCGCATTCTTTTTTCTTAAAACGAAAAAAACGGTGTCCAATAGTTCTGTGAGTTTAGCAAGAAAGTAGATGTAAACGCCTCTTGCTACCTAAAAGAGAATTGTAACAGGAATGCAACAACACTCATAAATTACCCTCATGGCATGGGGGCTCCTCGAGTGATCAACGGGTTCACATGTCCAGCTATACCTGTACAACCAAGCACCTTCCATGCCCTAAGAGATTCAACAGTCGATTAAGTTATTTACGCTGCTATAGTTGACTTACTTCATAAAATAAATAAACGCTAACTAAAACTTGCACAAAGTTGTAAACGATTAAGGTGTTTTTTAATTCGTAAGGTTGTCGGTCTTTCATGAGACGAGGGCCCAAGTTTAAAACAAAGTATAGATAGAATCCTACTATAGCTAAGCCTGGAAGCGGGTCATTGATTAAGAGCCAATCGTTGGTGCGGGGATCTGAAAACAAACCATTTAGAAACATTGATCGCCAAACAATGGTTAAGTATTCATTAGACGCATCGGCAATTATGGGCGTTGAGCTTTCGAAAAACGGTGCATCATGATGATTTTATATCGAATTTTCACATTTTCTCTATGTCAAGGCGGTGAAATTTCATTTGTTTGTACAGCAAATAGGAAGAATATTAATAATGGATTGTTAATAGTAATTTATCTTAATTTCGAAATTCCATTCACGATATAGACTGTTATGTTTTATTTATCAACGTATAGTCCTTATAGCAAAATCAAAGTAGAGCGGATTTTGTTTCTTCGTCCTTTCAAGAAGATGCATTTTTAGGTAGAACAACGATGCCCATATGCAATAATGCAATAATGTTTGCTTTTAGAATTGTTAGGACATCGTAAAGATTTATTTATGCCACTCTCTTTTAATTAAATGTTTATTTTACAAAGCACAATTCAGGCTTAGAATATTACTTAGATTTAGTACGCATTTAAGTAGGCTACCAATTTTCTTATTATCATTTGAATTCAAATCTACCAATCCTGGCTCTTAGTCCTCTGTACTGTGTTCCTAGTGTTTGATGATTCGATCATTCTTGTCGAATTAAAAAATTAGTAACTTACCCATTACAAAAGAATTTGTATTGTAAGTAGTACCTACTAATGACAGATCGTTAGACAAAGTTATACATTTTAGTTTTATCATAAGTTAGCAATTAAAGGGAGTTATTAAATGGGTGGAATTATCAAATGTTGTTGCAACCGCCGTAATGAGGCTATTAATTAGGCGAGGACGGTGATATCAGTTTTCTTTTTATTGCACAATGCCTCGTTCATATAGTACTCGATATTGATCAAATAATAAAATTATAGTAAAAATTACGATCAGTTCTATTCTGTAATCGTCATCTAGAAATAATTGGGAAGCAGAAGCTAGGATGTAACTGAGGAGCAAGCGAATATTAACATACAGTCGCCTGCACTTCTCCTAATCCTTTTCCAGTACATAACACGTAACAGTACTTCACACTTTTATGTTCTTAATGCGATTCATTTCTGTTCAAAACGGTTCCATTATTAGTAAAACAGTACAGCTGCTTATGCGTAACGTTTCGGATTTTATTTCATTTTTTCAGTGACTGTTTTACACGGGACTAAATTCACGTCGTCCGTCGCGAGACGCTTCAAATATAACATACATATACATATATTTAAGAAATACTATCGTTCAGACATGTAGAGTTGGTGTAATGAACTGGTTGTGTCGCCGTTAAATGCAGGAAATTATATTACTTTCAAGTACATACAATATAAGTATACTTACTTGTATTACTCAGCGACTATAATACCAGCCCAGTCACATTATGTCACATTGGACCAAGCAAATATGCAACACCATTTTCTGTATTAGAATTTATTGTAAGACTAGATTTTCCCCCGCGACATCGTACGGCTTACAGAATGTAAAAATAGCACGTTACGCGAAATAGCACAACGAAAAAAGAAGTTAAAAAAAACCCGATCGGGCCCAAATGTGAATCTAAATCACCCGCAGAGATATATAAAAAAATTTCATGAAAACCCTTCCAACCGTTCACGAGGAGTTTAGTCACAAGATACGTACAGACAAATTTTATATGGATATGAAGATTGTAAATTTAACGAATTGGATTACGCATATTTGATACTATGTAGTTTTGTAAATTCATCAACAATATCTAATACTTTTGCCAACTGCAATAATTATAAAATAAACAAAAAGATGATCAAAAAGGTAAAGTAATGCCTATTTGTTTTGATCCAATTATTTAATACTCTGAGATGGTACATACAGGCAACAAAAAAAGAGCGAAGGAGTGTGAGAGACGAAACTGTGCCTAAATGGGCGAACGAACAAAGCACGATCGCTTTGTAAAAAAATGAGTCAACCATATGCAATCAAATTAAACACAACCTGATTATTTATTTTGAGTGCTGAGCTGGCGTGGAGATAGCAAACGAAAAATTAAGGTTTGTCTAAATATACAATGTGCAATGAATGACGTAAATCAGTTTATTTTTCCAAAGTTGGAGGGTTGTCGTGAAGTTAGCCACTTCAAAATTTTTTCTTTGATCCACTTGCCTAATGTGCAAACAATGTGCAATCAAATGGATCATACACCTTTTACTTTTTGTGTCTCAAATAAGCAATCATTTCTTTAAATCAATATATTTCTTTTTACAGTTTATTTCCATGTTCCATCTAAAAAAAGATCTCACTTCAACCGAAAATGCTCAAGTTATATTGTTGTTGAACACGGAATCATCGTAAAGAAAAGCGCACGGCTGAATTAGGTACTTGTTGAAAAACGTAAGGTTACTAATCTTTTGTTTATTTTTTTTAATGTAAATAACAAGGAAAATAGGAAAAAAATTTTTTTGGTTTAAATCGTTTTCTTGTCCTCACTTTGTTCGAATTACTTTTTTCATCTGCTGGATTTACAAACGGAAAAGTTTCAACCAAATTACAATATTACGTGAAAGGACAGGTGGATAATTTTTTAGGTCAATAACAGTTCCGCCACCGAACTATTTTGAGTATTTTTGACTGATTCGTCGTGTTTGTTCAAACCCACCCGAAACAATAAATTGTTGTTCGTCGTTCAATTCGCTTCCACCGTCCATAATTCTTTACAGAAAACTACAAAATATAGTCGCGATATTAAATTGTCCGGATCCGAGACGGTTCGGAGCCTGGCTTGGAAAAGTTAATGATAAAAATTCATAATTATATATTGTAACGTGATTTATTAATTCGGGTTCGATTTATATCAATATTTATTAAACAAAACTAAAACACTATAAAATCCGTACAATTTATATCGATTATTTATATCACACACTTCGAAATTTATATCAGCTTTTCGCGCTCTATGTTTCGTCCGTACTCGATCTCGTTCGATAGTAGACTGCCGCGATGTTCGGTCCGCAACCATTTATACACGCAAGCAATGTAAGTCCAGTACATTCTCGAATGTTCCTACTATCGCGCGCGTAGAAAATTCCAGAGCGCCAAAGGCGACGTCATGTCTGGAGCATTTCCGTTACAATATAAACAAGACTATTGGGGCAATTTTTTGTCATGTTAATATTACTGGAAAAATTTGTTCCTTTGAAAAAAGTTTAATTGCATCATTGTTCGGTGCGGCAGCGCCTGAATAATTATTTTTGTAACGGATAGGTTAGTTCGGTGCCGGAACTATGACGCAATGTGACTGATGTGTTGTTGATTTGACCTTAAGTTAACAACATGGAGTGTTATGGTGATATGTTTTGATAGTTTTTGCCAGAATTACTTAACCTCGGCACTGACCCTATTTTACTACGTAAAGAATATATTTGCACAACTAGACATAATGCATCTACGTGGTTCTAGTATAGTAAAATGGCTACTATTCTAGATCCACGTGGAACGACGGAGGGAAAAATTGATGTTATGTTATATTGATTTCATTTATTTTACAGCATTTGCATACAAATGCTATATATATAAATAAACCTTTTATGACCATTCTCCCACGGACTAATTGCAAAAAACTCCAAAATGGACGGTTACCGTTTTGCATTTCTTACATTGCAAGATGTCACACGTTAACGTTTGGTTTAATATCCCAAAAAAGCATCTAATACAAAGAAACCCACATAGTTATTTGTACAACTAGAGAAGCAAGTTTTTCAACTCGAGTTCAAAATGTGACTCATGAGATTCCGACAATAAAACATTTTTGACAATAATTCACTCACTTTGCTGTGAGGGGATCCGCTTATATTCAATGATCTTTGATGAAGGTCCACATTGCCCCCCCCCCTCCCCTACAGAAACCACATATTCCTATACCAATCCAACTGCAACCCTGATATACTGGATATAGCCCTTCATAACAATTTTCCCAGTCCAATTTTCCAAAAATTGCTACTTGGATTAGATTCTGATCACCTGCCAGTCATAATAACCCTTGAAATGCAGTCTCAATTTATCACTCAAAGTCCTAAACTGATAAAGGGAAAAATAAAATGGAATACCTTTCGAAACAAGCTCCAGCAAAATATCAAATGTCCAACACAGTTACAAAACGGGGCTATCAATTCTTTACTAAATTCAATAAACCAAGCAGTCAAGATATCAACCACCACCCAAAAACACACTAGCATTATACCACAACACATACAATACTTAATTAAAGAAAAGCACACGACCAGGAGATTGCGGCAAACAACCAGAGAGCCACAAGTTAAGAAAGAGTTAAATATTTGACTGAGGCAAGTAAAACATGGATTAGACGAACATCGAATTAATGAGTACAGAAAAGAGAGAACATGTTCAAGTTGCAAGTACAACCGAAAGATCCGACAATGTAGCGCACAACTAAGCGTATACCAAAGGAACCACATTTTATTCCTACTATAAAACTATACAATAAATTATAGTGAAATATTCGCACAACACCTAATTGAAACTCCAATAATATCCCTTATTGCAACTACAACAGTTAATTGAAAATAAAGTCAATCAAATTTTCCCTCCCAATCCAGATGAAATAAAAGCAATAAAACCTAATGAGATAACAACAATAATGAACCAACTACCCAAAAGGAAAGCACCAGGACATGACAGAATACCAAAAAAATCAATAATGTACATATAGTCGCAATATTGAATCTTGAATGTATGTCTACCGATGAGAGACTCCTGCCACATGGAAATACACAGGGCGTAATTTAACAATTGCTGCAAGCTGTAGCTAGCGCCTTCAGTTTTTGTACGAATTTAATGCAAAAATACTACAAAACGGGGATTGTTTCCATGGTATGCTACAAAATTTTGAAAAGTTAGTTTTGTGTGTGAAAAATTCCAATCAAACGTAACTTTGATATTAATCATTAAATTTAGGGGGACACATTCCATCATGTTGCATTGAACAACTTTCATCCAACTTAACGGAGCGCCGGCTCATTCTACCCATGATGCGTCTTTGATGAACCTTTTTGAAAACAGATGGATTGGGGCTAGAGGTCCGTGGCATTGGCTCCCTAAATGTCCAGATATAACGCCAATGGGATTTAATGTGAGGGGTCATATAAAGACAAAGTTTACTTCACAGGTGCTTCTCGTGAAGAACCGGAAGTTAGGGTGAAAAGACCTTTTGATGAAACTGATGCAGTAGAAAATTCGAAAGGCGACTTCCAACGGCGTTCATTTGGAGATCCTATAATGTATTGAAAAAAAATAGAATTCTTTTCATATTTAGTGATATAAACTACCATCAACAAATGGTAACAATTATAACCGAGATTATAACCCTAAAAAGACTTGTTTGACGAGCCTACGAACAGATTTACTTCAAAGCTTTCATAGTCACAGTCAGAATTCTAGAAAATCTAAAATAAAACGGAAGGCATAACAGATAGGAATAGAGAATGTAGTATATGATCGATGTAGAGTTTTTTTTTAGATTTTTGAAAGTGCAAAAAAGTAAAGCATGTTTCATTAGAAAAAATCAACTTTTTAAAATTGACAATCAGTTTTAAAGCACCCTCTAGAAGGGTGATCAAAATTTAAATTATTCTCATGTAGCATCAAGTCATTGTTGATTACTGAAGACTTTTTAAAATTTTAATCAACCGAGTCAGAGGTACAGGGCTCAAAAGAAAAGCAACCAATTGCTTAAAACCGGAAGCGAAACGATCATGTAAATATTTTAATTCGATTGGTCATCAAAAACTATGTGTTGATATTCAAATTTCTAGATTTAAATTATTAATGCGAGCCTGAATATGTTTAAGTAACGGTTTGCGTGAAAACATCCTGTATAAATAAACCTCTAGTGACCATTTTCGAAAGACATATCACTTACTTTCTAAAATATCAAAAAGCATAAGGTATAGAAGGTTTAATGTTTTTGTTTAATTTTAAAAATAAGTGAGTCTTTCTAAAAATGAATTAAACGTTTTTTTTTTATTTTTTGCGGTTATATTACAAGGTACCTACCTAAACAAAATCAACGGAATAGAAATTATGAGAGAGATAAAAATGTAATTTGTGGTAATAATAATAATAATTTATTGTCTCTGATCAACGTTATTGACATGATCACAATGAAAGTTTGGTATAAAAAACACACATATACATTAAAAATTACAAAAGAACAAAATATAAATATTATATCACATATTCTATCACATATAGGTACATGTCAGTTGCCTTGTAAAAACATTGTACAATCGTGTTCTAAAGAGGACTTGGAGACGCCCTATGAAAATAAATTGATTGAATGGTCTTTTTTTTCTTATGTCGCGTATAAATTTTAGTCATCAAAAGCGCCCAAAAACTGATCCACAACATTGGGAAGTTTTGGCAGTGTTTATTGTTTCGAAAAATAACCGACCATGCTTGTGAAAAAGCCGGAGTGTCTAACACTACAATATTCAATCAAGATTATACACGAACATTTGGGTATGAAAAAAGAGTCTGCTCGTGGTCGTTTTGGTTATTGAATACCTACATGGCAAAAGGGTGAAGTTTATGGTAGCACGATTGAACGCTTGAAAAGATTTCCATCTTAACTGTTCCTGATTTGGCACTGTATTAATCACAGATTGCCATTTTTCTCAAACATTTAAAGAATTTGTTCATTTAATTACTTTTTTCTTCAGAATGGACACATTCGTCTAATTTAGGTACTTTGACAAAAACGAGCATATTAATACGTAAGGCCATAAAATTGAGTTACTTCCGACTAGAATGTTTTTAAAGAGGGCCACAAAATTGTTACAGTTTAATGATGATTACGATATTAACCTCAACGTAAAACGAATGGTTAAAAATGTTAGAATGCAAACCAAATCGAAGTAATTTTTCAGTTTTTTTTACCACAGAACTCTTCAAATTAATGTTTGTTTAATTTCAAAATAGTTATTACATAGTTGGTAACGAGGGAGAGAATTTTAGGGAATATTTATTTAGAGCAAAACGGTGAGATTAAGCGCAAATGAGTAGAAAGTGCAACCATTTTAATTGAATGAGTTTAGTACTTTTCTCCATGTGAAGTATTACAATAAATAGTATCTGTGTCTAGGTCAGACGGCTACACTTTGTTAAAGATTTTGTGCAAATTTAAGATTAATGTTATATAATGTCGCACAATCACGCTCAAGTAATACCGAATTCAAATTTGGTCCAGCAATTATAAACGCGCAGAAACCTACTGTAAAGGAAACGTCTTTTTAAAAACCATTTAATCACCAAAGCACCTAACCGCAAGTAAAAAGAGGTTTTAATGTAATTTATTATGAAATTACTATTCCCTTACTAATTGAGACAATAATAATAAAAATAAATTAGTTCCTCGTTACGCAATGGCGTATTTAGAATCGATTTTAAGATTACGTTGTTTTTACAAATCGTTTTATTAACTAAATTGTGGGATAGTATAAAAATTTCTTACCGGCGAGATCCGTAAATACGAAGTCGTAGTATCTCTTAACCGAATTGTTGTAAATCGACATTTTCTTCTTTATTCTGCAATCCTTCGGCTATTCACGCACAATACCTGAAAACACGGGAAAATTGTAAGAGCACCGCACAAAATTATACAACAAAGACTTAAGGTAAACCACATCTAATAAATTACGTTTGCAATATGTTGCATCAATTTGAATACAAAAAGAAAATTTACGCTAATTATCACATTTGCAACAAATTTCACCCATTGCAGTTAATTGCGTAGTTAATTGACATTTGATAAGTAAACAATTAACATTCCAATTACCATCATCCAGACACTGAAGAATTTCCGGCAACCGAAGGTGTTTATCTATTTCACAATTAGTCGAAAGTACTTTTACGACTTTTTGAAGTATACTGCAAATATACTAAGAAACTATTCCAATTGTACGTGAAAGTAGGTAATATTTATTTTATTGACAACCACTACTCCGTTTACAAGAAGCGCAATGTTGACTCATGCTATATTGAGACAAAATGAAAAGTGCTGACTGCATGCAGCCCGGAATTTGGCAAATATTTATATACATAACACAGGAAACGAACAGAATGCGCTCATTTAAAATGTAAAGTATACCTATGTATTGTCTTCGGAATTATGCAGATGAGTTTGATGACACCGCAAGTTTAAGCCTACCTATGTATAAGAAGAAACATAGAGTTAATGCAAAAGCTAAAAATGCCTAAATATCTCACCCCATTGTCCCGGCTACTTACATAACGCCTAATTTTGCACAAAAAACAAAGAAACAATTTTCAATTTTTATGGCTGTTATCGGTGATGTGCGCTCCGATCAGTTTTAGCCAGCCGAATGAATTATTATAGCATGGTACGTAAAGGACGTCATTTTTGGTGGAAATATGCAAAGTGAAATAGGTAGGAGAAATCTGTGGACACGAGTACCTAATCTTCAGAAGTCGAGGGATTGTTTACTCTAAGGGATTACGTAAGATACTAGCAGTTTTATGATGAGTATATTTACTTTAATAAAAGTCAATAATAAATAATGAAAGTTGAGTTATTTAATTAGCAATGTCGATTAAGGCGGAAATTTTTCAGTCAATAAAGACAGACAAATACTCAATGTGGTTTTATAGTCGGTCAGTTCTTTTTTTGACTGAAAGTGTCTTAATTGCACCATTCTTGTTTTTGGAGGTGTATAAAACTCGGTAATTATTGAGTTCTAACAAAATCATTGATGTGGTATGCCTATCCTTTCTCGCTTTTGGATAAAGGTTATACTACTGTTGTCAGGTAGAAAATGGGACTTTCAAACCCCAAAATGTACACTTCCAAGATGCGGAGATAGGGAATGTATGCAAAGAAGGTTAGGAAAACGACGATGTTTTGCCGTCATAGTGGATTTTTGCGTTTTAATCCAATATGATAATTTACAATAGCCCTATTATTAAAATATTGAGAGTAGCTACGTGTTAAAGATTGTTTGCTCAAGAATAAAATTGAACGTGTAGTTACATTTAGAAAAAGCTTCTGTTGAATATGTCGTTAACCTGATATTCAATTGTTTTCCAAATTTCTCCATTGCAATCATGACAAGTACCTATGCTAATTTAACGATTGAGTTTAAGGAAAGGCAATTCTTTTAGTGTAGTAGCACAGATAATCTTTTATCTGTGGTAGTAGGATCTATGGCGATTGGCGATTCTGTGATGGGGATTCCGCAATGTGTAGAATTTCGCCGTTAAGGACGGCATACGAATTAAAAAATTGAACCAGTTATGAAATGAGGCAACCCTGATTCAGCTATTAAATATCAGAGGTCGCAGCATGTTTTAAAATCGAAAGATAGTGAAGTATTATCTTTGTAGTAAATAAATTGTGCTGCCACATCGTGTCGAGTAGGTAGTACTCTACTTACACAATTGGTTTGTGTATGCTCTAAATTTAATTACTTTTACATGTTGGCTTCCATATGACCTTGTGCACATTCCTTTGCTTATTTTAACGAGATAAAAAACAGCTGGTTGACATAGATTAAATTACATTTAAAAGTACACGCAAAAACAGATTATGCACTATTACCAGAGATTATTCAACAAATTGAAGGCATGTTTTTTTGTTCAAATACCTAGCCCTTCTGCTCTCGCTCTGCAGTCGAAATCGCAAATAAAATTTTTGACGTTCATTTGTCAATATTCTTATAATTCTTTGACGTGGTGAATTTAAAGGATACATAGGGGAATTTGCTTTATTTACAACCAACTGTTTATTTTGTCAAACCTACAATTTGTAATCATTATTTTCACGAATACTTCATACTATGCGATCAAAAAAGAGTTGTTGTTGAGCAACCTTTGGAATTTTTGGTTACCCAGAAAATCGGCGACTCGATTGTCAATCCTTTTTTGATCGCTCCTTATATGAAAAGCGGGAGAAATCCTACTCGGGGGTTATTGGGGGTGTAGAGTCCATCTCTGCTCTCGAAATTGACAGACGATGCCCAGGAGCGGCGCTACGAGGGTGCAGTGAAGTAAAAAATTAACCGTGCTGAAAAAATTGTTACTCGGGGCAATTCATATTTTTTTACTGAAAATTCACCCCCGCCCCCATGATCTCTACCCCTGAGCATACCCGGATAATTTGGACAGTAGATCTGGTCTCTGCGCCAACGAAGATAATAAATGCATTTTTGCACCCCTGTGATTTTTAGGAAATGCACGTCGTAGGATAGACATAGGATAAGGGCAGCGTTGCACAATCGTGTAAAATTACCAAACGGATTTAACTACCTGTCTTCTTTTCTGGAGGGTCGCCCACACACATTCAAATCACAAATGTCATTTTATCTTAGTAAAAGAGAAAGGAATGTTGGCATAGGTCGCGTTTATGTACTCGTGTTTAGACAAACAACCATTCATTGTACTCAATGACATCATAATGGGATGCAGCAGTTCCTTTATATTTTTTACAGACGCGCGCCAAGTTAAGTTGTACCTTAGCGACATCTAGAAGTAAATAGCTGCACTACTGCTGCTTGCCGCCATTGTGATTGATGTAACTTTTTAAAAATGAAATCTTTGAGAATGACTCCTGGCCGCAATATTGGGTTTTAAATGACAAAACTTTCAATATTGAAAGAGGAGGAGCAGTTTTACAGCGACTGTACTTTAAAATTCAACAATTGCTTAAAATAAAATATGAAATGTGCCCTCTTATTTTAGCAATATTGTAGTAATTACTGTCTTTTTAGTAAAACCTTTATACAGTCGCTCTAGAGTAATGTATGTAGAATTTATATGTTCAAAAACCAAGCTAAAAAATGATTGTATAAGCCCAGGAGTCATTCTCAAAGTTTGATATAATTTTACAATGCAATTTGTCAGTGGCGACCTCTATTGGTTCTCATGAATAGTATGCCGTCCTTAACTCCGATATATGAGGATAGTATAATTGCATTTCATTACATCCACATCCACGTATATTTTTTCTTTACCGTTGGCTGATATTTCATATAAAATTTTCCATTGACGATTGTTGCACGTTTCATCTATAATTAGCCCTTTTGTTTAAAGACATTTTTGGTTAAAAACGCAAAGGGTTGCCTGTGATTTTCTTTTAGGGCGCAGGAGGGCCAACACCTTTTGACAGCCTTTCCATTTGCTGATAGGAGCAGCCATTTTCTGTAGTTGGGTCACTGGATCATACAACAGATTTGATAACAAGACACCAACAACCAAACAACTTCCATAACTTTTTGCGTATTAATTAATAACTATTTTTGCCCCTTCCGGGTTGTATGCTATCACCTTTAACCTTTTCACTGTTGCGCACGTATATATACGTTCTGAAAATGCGGAATCTGTGTGCGACGTACGTATATACAGTGTGTCCCAAATCGCGTGGGATTGCATGGGTAACTTTGTTATTATTAAAGATAGAGAATTGGTTAAATGGGCAATGTTTTGCAGTTTTGGATGCTTATTTAAAATTTCCTTATGGAAATTCAAAATGTCGCATAGGTTCGACGTAAATTCAAAAAAACTAAAATTGGTCATTTCCTTGAATGTCTTATATCATCGAAAGTATAAGAGATATAAAAAAAAGTTTTATATAAAAGTGACTGTCTTTGATACGCTTAATTTAGAATTGATGTCAAAAAAATTCAAGATTGCTACTTTTGAGGAACATTTACCAACTTCCTAAAGTTAAATAGGCGCTATATGGGATTTTTAGATTACTTGATAGATTTTTTAATTCTCTTTTCAACGAGCTATCATAACATAAGATTGAAAATAAGATACCAGTTATATCAACGGTTTTTATATTTTAATCAAGTAGGCTGTGATGAATTAAAAAAAACAAAACAAAATCTACTCGAGCCAGCAAAACAATGAAAATAATTACATCAGATGTTTAAAAAATCAGGGGCGCACTCATGAGAGGGGGGTTTGGGCATTACAACTCCCTCCAAAATTTTATATAAGTAGGCCTAGAAAAATTTTGATTTTTATAACATCACTTATTGACTATCTTATTATCCATACTTACATACCTACAAATGGTGGTATAACTACAAACTATCCCCTCGAAAAAATGTCATGCCATTATCCAGTTAAACACATTTCAAGACACTTTGCTTTATTTTACACAATGTATTACCATTGATGCATTGTCCCAGGTCACATTTTGTAGGTCAGTGGGTGGTTTATCCGCAAGAATATCGAAACTAACAGTTTTACCAGTCCGAGTAATGGACAGATGAGTCTTATTTTTCTAACTGCGGAGTGTTCAAATCGACATAATGAACACTATACTCGTCACAGGAAAACCTACATGTTGTAGTTTCACGCCGAAATCAATTAATATTTTTTTTAAATTATGTAATGTATTTTATGGCATAATGGGAAGTCATGTAATTGGACCGGTAATCTTCGTTGGATCTTTAACTGCTCACCATGATTTATTAATTCTCCAATAAACTTCCTTAAAGGATTTTTCTCGACAACGTATGTTTCGAAGAAAGGGTTGGTTTATGCTACCTACCAACAAGCTGGCTGCTCAGGTCACAATTCACGAATTATGTACAGTACATTAAATTATAAAAGTAAGTACTTAATTAAAAAATAAAAGTAAAGTGGAAGTAGCTACCACTACAATAATAATAATAATCATCAATGGCAACACGTTGCCTAAACTAAACTGTCTTGAAGTGTGTTTCACTAATAATGGCCAGTATTTTAAACATCTGGTGTAATTGTTTTCATTGTTTTGTTGCCTCGAATAGATTTTGTTTTGTTTTTATTCGTCACACACTACTTGATTAAAATACAAAAACCGTTAATATAACTGGTATCTTATTTTCAATCTTATGTTATGATGGCTCGTTGAAAAGAGAATTAAAAAATCTATCAAGTAATCTAAAAATCCAATATGGCGCCCATTTAACTTTAGGAAGTTGGTAAATGTTCCTCAAAAGTGGCCATCTTAAATTTTTTTTTTATATCAATTCTAAATTAAGCGTATCAAAAACAGTCACTTTTATATAAAACTTTTTTTTATAGCTCTTATACTTTCGATGATATAAGACATTCAAGGGAATGGCCATTTTTAATTTTTTTGAATTTACGTCGAACCTATGCGACATTTTGAATTTCCGTAAGGAAATTTTAAATAAGCATCCAAAACTGCAAAACATTGCCCATTTAACCAATTCTCTATCTTTAATAATAACTAAGTTACCCATGCAATCCCACGCGATTTGGGACACACTGTATACGTTGTACCTGTTTAAAATTCTGCACACCATCGGAAAGCCCATTTCCTGAGCTTTCCAACGAGTACCAACACGACTCAATTTAGTTTTGTCCAGTACGCTAAAAACGGTTTCAGGTAACACATGTGCGAATTCATTTTGTTGTCGTAGTAGTTATTTATTCAGACGTTTGATAAATT